GTAGGTATAGTGATCATTTGGGATAATAGATCAGTACAAGTAGGGGATTGTTTGATTGGAGAGTTTTCTGTTTATATTAAAATAGAAGCTGGAAACCAGAGTTGGTGGCTATTGGGGTGTATGGGCCGTGGGCCGAATTTCTATAGAGAAAGGAGGAGCTTTCGGGACTAATTGACAGGGCTCCATTGAAGGAATGGGATGGGAACACTAAGTTATTCCACAAGCTGGTTAGCAACAGAAGAAACAAGAGTGCCATCACAAGATTGGTAAAGGATGATAATGAGTGTTGGAGGATAGATTGGAGATTGAGAGAGATATCATAGCATTTTATGAAACTTTGTTTAAGGAGGAGGAGGCTAGTTCTTGGAGTTTTGAAGGGATCAAGTGGAGTGCTGGGGAATTGTGAAGGAGATTTATTGAAAGTCTTTGAGGAATTTTTCAGGAATGGTGTGATTAGTTCGGCAATCAATCACACCTTCATCTGTCTTACCAAAAAAGACCCATTCAAGGAAGCTAAAAGACTATAGGCCAATCAGTTCTAAGGTCTTCACAAACAAGTTGAGGGAGGTCCTAAGTGATGCTATCTCTTTGTCACAAGGGGCATTCGTGAAGGACAGACAAATTCTAGATGTGGTGCTGGTGGCCAACAAAGCAATTGAGGAATAAAAGAGGAGGAAGGGGCTGGTGTTTAAAGTAGACTTTGGGAAAGCTTATGACCATGTGAGATGGTGGTTCTTAAACGGTGTTTTGGAGAAGAAGGGTTTTGGTAGGAAATGGAGAAATGGATTCTTGGTTGTCTACAGCCAATTTCTCAATTATGATTGACGGGAGGCCACGTGTTGGGGCTACAAAGGGACTAAGACAAGGCGACCCCTTATCCTGCTTTTTATTCACTTTAGTTGCAGATGTGCTTGGGAGATTAATGGATTAAGCACTAGAAGTTGGGGTGGTGGAGCGTTTAAAAATTGGAAGGGAGGAGATATCTGTTTCATACCTTCAGTTTGCAAATGATACGCTTTTCTTATTGGGGGCAGATCTAACAACATCAGAAATGTTAAAACCATCCTTAAATTTTTTGCACTATGCCCGGGCTTGAAGATTAATATGGGAAAAAGCACTTTGGTTGGGAATAAATCTCAGTGATGATTCGGTGGAAGTAATGGTTTCAGAGTTGGGCTGCAAAGTGGGAGAATGGCCCATGAAATATTTCGGCCTACCCTTGGGTGGAAATCCTTTATCAATGGAGTTTTGGATGCCAATGATCGAGAAGGTGTCAAAGCGATTAGATGGATGGAAAAATTCATTCCTTTCGAAGGGAGGAAGGCTAACTTTAATTCAATCTGTTCTTGCAAGTATTCCAATTTATTACATGTCCCTTTTCAAGATACCCAATTCGGTAGTTGAAGTGTTGGAGAGGGTGATGCGCACTTTTCTTTGGGACAATCAGGACGGCAGCAAATCGAAGAGTTTGGTGGCTTGGGACATTGTTATGAGCAAGCAAAAGGGTGGTTTCGGGATCAGAAATTTGAAAATGAAGAAAGTAATGATAGAGGGGTAGAGGATTTGCATTCTCTACTTCAAATTCTCAACTCCGTTTCATTTAGCTCATCTTCTCTTGATAGAGGGGTAGAGGGTTTTTCTTGTCGATCCTTTTTGAGTTCCTTAGTGGACAGAAATGACATTCTGAATTTTGAACCGTTTAAATTCATTTGGAAGTCTTGCGTCCCCCATAGAATTAGCGTCTGTTTGGTATGAGGGTTCAAACCAGGGTTGTTTGAACTTTTGGGTTTGTATCGTGTGGATTTTGAATTGTGGGGTTTGAACTTGGGGTTCTAACTATAAATCTTTGGGTTTGAACTATATGTGGTTTGAACCTGGGGTTCAAACCGGACAAAACCAAGAGGAGGGGTGGTTTTATTTTTTGAGGTTCAGTAGGGTTAAAACATCACATTAGGGTTCAAACCTTGAATCTTTTCTTTTTAAACCAAACACTAATTTTATTGGACTGGGTTCAAACTATTTTTTACTCTTTACAAACAAATACTGGTTTGAACCTAAATCACGGTCCAAAACTTGAAATTCCTCATACCAAACATACCCTTAAAGCTTTTGCTTGGGTTCAATTTCATGGGAAAGTTTATACCTGTGATAGGGTGCATTTGATGCTCTCCCATCTTGGTGAGTTCTCTGCAGGGATAATGACCATTGATCACCTACTGTTACATTGTAGGGTGGCCAGATCACTTTGGAACAAATTGAGTTTGGAGGCCGGTTATAGTTGGGCTCTTTGATGGTTGAGAGAGTGGTGGGCTTTGGATCTAACAAGACGACCAAAGTCTTATGGAATTGTATGGTGCTTTCGATGCTATGGACTCTGTGGATGGAGAGAAACACAAATTTTTTAGGGAAAGGAGATGGAGCCAATTGATATTTTTGAGAAGGCAAAGTTCCTTGGATGGCTATGGGCTGCTTCAGATAAAGCTTTTAAAGGATTTCCGCTTTCTTTGGTCATTTAGAATTGGAAAGATGTAATAGGGAATTGATTTGAGAGTTATTTTCTGTGTTTCCTTTTATATCTTGGTAAAATCTTTTTTCACATTGGCCATTTTTGTATCTCGTGGGTTTGAGGATTTCTTATCCTCTGCCCTTGTTGCTGATTTTATCAATGAAGTTTTTCTTTTTAAAAAAACATATTTGGATCAATCTCTTTTGCAAGTGTCAAAAATTACATGAAATGTTATTTGATTTGTTCTGGATTTGTGCCTTGCAGATTTATGGTTATCGGATGTCATTATGGGCAGAGCATTTGGGAACTATTGAGGACTGCTTCATACAACCAGAGAGCCTTGATTGTGTAAGAAGAGTGAGATCAATGGGGGAGAAGAACTGGAAACAATTTGCTGCAGAAGAGGTAACAGAGATGAGAGGCCATCTACTGAAGTACCCGGTTGAAGTCGATCGAAAAGGCAAAGTGAAGCCCCTTTCTGGTAATGAAAGTTTTCCAGATGTGGGAGGAAATATAATCGGGTCATTCATTGCTATTCAGGAAAATCTCACTATATGATTCTGCTATTCATTACTGGCTGATTAATAATTTTTATTTTATTTTTTTATTATTTCTTTTGGGATTATAATTTATAGGAATATGAATAATAAGAAATGCAGTTATAACTTACAGTATTGTATTCTTTCGATTGCCTTAGAAAACCAAGGATGATGTCTAGCTTTTTGTTGTCTTGCGTAGCATTAAACATTACAGCTATCTGACTTGTACATTACTTCTTTATTGTGTGTGTATATATATGTATACACAATAAACGAGGAGTTGTATGTAATAAGGTTCTTGTTTTGTGTTTATACATTCATAACTCATCACTTCAGAATAAAAGCTTGGACAGGGTTTTCTCCAAATACACACATGCAGAGAGAGAGAGAGAGAGAGAGAGAGAGAGATTTAAGTTGTAGCAAGACTGCACTTTAGCGAACATTGTAAGTAAATGGTTTAAAGTTATTCTAGTTCTGAAAATGAATGACAGAACCCATAAAATTCTCTGGTCTGCCAAAGTTCAGAGATCAGACAAATTTTATCGGCCTCTATCATCTATAGATGTCTTCAGGAGTCCAAAGGAAATATTCATGGACAATAAAAATAGCCAAACTAAAAAAGTAGACATCTGAACTTAAAAACCCTGCAGGATCGTTTTTGTTTTTAAACCTTTCAGGATCAAGGAGCCTTCGTCTCTGCTCAATTCTATTCTGTTGCAGAGATGTTTATAAGTTCGAGAGTTTGGATCCACCTCCACTGGGAGACCAAGTTCAGAAATCTCATGCGTATCAACAGATCCTTGAAGCTCCAGTTCAGCCACAACTCGTTGGTTCTCCTCATTACCTTCTAACAAATTCCTTACAGATCAAATGGCTCACTCCCTCGAGAATGAACTGTCCTCATCGGTAACACAATGCTGTAAGAGTAAGAGAATTCCATTCTTCTGTCTTATCTCATCTTGTACCTGCTTTTTACCATATGAACAATTTCCAATCACGGAAACAATGTTCCTTCTGAATCCTTTGTAAGGGCAGGGCTTTGCTTAGAGGGAACTTCCCTCTTCCTTTTCCCGCTGTTTCATGGCCTTTCTGATTATTGCCGGAGGCTCAAGCTATCGAAACAAACTTAAAAGCAGTTCAACAAGTCCAGAGGATAGTAGCATACTGACAGCATGGAATGGTTTCTCCTCAGAGCCTCTTGAACCCTATCAGGAAGATATATCTCTTGGAATTGTTGGTGAGTATCCAAGAATATCTATGGCAGTGGAGCCTGTTGGAAGTCTAGATTTGGTTTTCATGTCTGAACTAATAACCCCAACGGACGACTTGAAAATTTCTAGAAAGCGCGAAGCGAAATCATTCCAACAGTGATTTCTTCAATTCTATCATTAAATATATTTGAAACCATTCTCAAAACAAATGTTTGTTCCGATGAGAATGAGTCATCTCTAACCTCAACAGCTTCAGCTTTGCAACGCTTAACTAATCGTGACCCGTCCTAAAATCCGATTGGGCCCCTTTCCAAAATGGGCCTCAAAATGAGTCTTTAATATGGCTTAATAAGCTATTTTTCCAACAATTCCCTACATGAATAAAAATTGACTGACGACGAGAGAACACAGACTCGACACGGTGATAGAGTTCTACAGTCGATGCCTGTAAAGGATATGTAGGCGTTAACCCTTGAACCTTTCCTTGTGAGACTACATTAACTTTACTGGCTGATCAGTAGACGCGATGTCCTTAAACTGTTCTGCCTTCATGTAAACATTAATATACCTAACACAGACATCTTTGATTACGCCCAAATGTGTACAAAAACAAACGGTCAATTGTAGCACAATTAGGATGGTCGATCCCATGAGGAGGCGATAAAAACAAATAAAAGAGATTAGTAGAATAAAAGCGTTAAAGAAATAAGCAATCGAACAAAGAATAGAAAGGAGTGTTTTAATGATTTTCTTGAACAATTTAAAATGGAGAAAATTCAATAACTAAAAGTGGTAAGACATTGAGAATCCTCTATATGCTTTGTTCACCTACTTGGATTTTGATTCATAAATTGACTCAATTGAAAGTTTCACATCCCAAACAATCAATCGGAAAATAAATAATTGAAGAACATGTGAATTAAAATGTATTCGAGTAAATAAAATTCTTATGCTTAGAACTAGGAAAAATTATCTTATGAGAAATCTAAAAGCGATAATATACCGTTGGCAATATTATAGTAAAAGACTACTCATAAAACAATACCTACCAATATATAGTTTCATGCAACAATCACATAAAAAGAGCTTGACTAGATTTATATAAAAGTTGACAATAAAATATATTGATATGAGGAAGAAATATGATAAAAGAAAATTATTTACTAAAATGTATAAAACTTACAAACCATTAGAGAATAAAAATCTAAACAAGCTTACTACACATATAGGATCATCTCTAGCCTCACCCAAGAACTCTAGCCTAGTTTGCACATAATTCTCACAAAATTCTAAAGAGAAAATATGAGAACAAGAGCAAGGCAAAAATAAGAGAAAAAGTTTCTATACTGAAGCTAAAATTCAACAACCTAATACACTTAACAAAGTCCCTATTTATAGAGCTTTGAGAATGCTAAACAAAAACACATTCAACAAGTAAAAGAAAACATAACAAAAATGTTTTCCAATTAAATTGGAATTTACAATGCTTTATTCGGATATTGAATGCTGAAATTAACCATGACATCAACAGAACCAAACGGATCAGCTGGCTAAATAATCCCAAACGGGTGGGACACGTGTCACACGAAGAGAGGCTGAGGGGAGTAAATGGCTGACAGCTTCGGACACGTGGCGAGCTGTGGAAGGAGAGCTGCTGCACCCGGGACCCATGCGGAAGAAGAGAGAAGTGTTCCTGATGCTCGTGTGGAAGGACCCGGGGAGGAAGTAGTGCACACCAAACGCGCGTGCGGGAAGGAACAACTGGGTCCCACGCGGAAGAAGAGAGAGCTGGGCTTACGCGCGCGTGGAGACAACTCGCAAGCTGGGCTTGGCGTGGATGGAACGCTCGCGTGGTTAAGTGGGAAACGTGGGGGACTTGCCAGAAAATGCCACGTGGCGTGACTAGTGGAGTGGCTTAAACAGCTTGGCTCGGCGGCGGCTAACTGACGGCTAGGCTTGCTGATGGGCTTCAGATGGGATTCTCTTTCTCTTTATAGTTTTAGCTCAAATGTCTTATTTTCCTACAAAACAAAATAAATTAAATTAAAATTAAATACTTCCACATAAAATTAATTCCACGAAAATATTTAATTAAAACTTAATTTATTTAGCAATTATGAACAATTTAAGTGCATTTCATGCACTTATCAATCTTCCTAACACAGTTCTGTTCTCATGGTTATGTTCATTTTGGCCATGAACATCTAACTGGTTCTACAAGAGTTTCTAAAGAATTGAGCCCTTACAATTTTTCTTTGAAGCGGCCCCACTTCTCTCTCACATAGGTGATTTCTTAATGAAGAGTAACCTGTATTACTCAGATTCCTGACGTATCTGGTGGATAAGAATCATTAAAACCCAATGTTTAACCTCTTCTCGTACGAGTTTCACTGTTATCATCATAGGAACAGGCCGGGGTTAGCCCCACAATGAACTCAGCTGGTCTATACAATTTAGTTGTCCCATTGAACCTAGATCTTGGGATCTCTAGTCAGCTAGATTGGGTTTCCACTGCTTCGACCTATTTATTCCATGGGCTTCAATCTCATTCCTGTAACACCCTAAAGAATTAATTGAGATGAATTAAGGTAATTGAGATTATTAGTGTGCCTAATCTGGATTATTAATTGAGTATTAATTAATAAATGTTTCTAACACATGTGAGTTTAAATAGTTCCAAGGTATTTAAATTATTCTCAGTAATTTATTTTAACCCAGAAGTGTGTATGGGCGCATTTCTGGACTGTTGTTTTAAAATTTTGTAACACCTGTCCATTTCTTTTTCTTTTTCCTTTTCTTTTCTTTTCTTCCTTTCCTTTTCCTTCCCGTGTATTTTCTCTCTCTCTCTCTCTCTTTCACTCTCACTCTCTCGCTCTCTCTCTCTCCCCCCCTCTCTCTCTCTCTCTCCCATTTTGTCCCAAATCAAACGGATCTTGAACCAAGGAAAGATTTAAATAAGCTTTCAATGTCAAGAGAAGGATTCGAGGTAAGATTACTAAAAGAACCTCTCTTGAATCTCAAGTTTTTGAATTTCAAAACTTATTTTTGGTTCAAACCGGATATTGATGGTTTGAGTAAAACTAGGGTGGAAATTAGAGATCTTGGGTTCTTTGGACTTGTTTTAAGACCTAGAACCCGGATCTAGTGGTTTTCCTTTGAAATATTTCAATTTGGGGACTGAGATTGCAGATTTTCAAACTGGTTTTTGCAAGCTTCTCTCACGCAGCTAATTCCACCGGTCGACCTGTGTGGTTGACCGGATCACATGGTAACCGGTCGACCGGTGCGGTCGACCGGATTGCATTGGCCTGATCAGTCGACCGGAGTGCACACCACCGGTCGACCGGTGGTAATGCACTATTGTCACCGGTCGACCGGTTGACACGGGGTTTGACCTTGTTTGGCCTGAAATTGTTGTTTAGACCCTTGTTTTCGGGGAGAACCAAATTAGCTTCATTTGGGGACTTGAGATAAATGGATTAGCATCTTTAATCCTTGATTTGAGATTGAAAACCCTTGGAATGATATTTTGAAACATGAAAATGGATTAGGGCACACTAATTGAAAACCTTGATACCTAATTGAGATTGGATTGCTTTAGGAATGAGAATTAATCCTAAAGTGTTGTCTTGCATCAGTGATTGCTTTGGATTCAGACTGAAGGGGCTTGAGGAAGCAGAAGCCGGAAAAGGCAACGCTAGTCCTAGGTTTGATAGTGCGAGGTAGGATTTCTATCCCTTTTCCTTGTGAGCCTGTTTTCAAAAAGGATTTCGGCCTTGGAAATGTTTTAAAGAAAGTGGTTGGTTTGCGAAAGAAAAACTCGTTAAAAATCATGGCTTGTGGAGTTTATGGAATCCATGGCTTGTCCTGTCCATAGAATCCATAGCTTATCGAGTCATGGAACCTCATGGCTTGCCCAGTCATGGGGCCCGCGGCTTGAGTAGTTCGTGGGGTCAGAATAACAATTTTAGAAAAGTTAATGAATGATTTCTTAAACAAAGAGATCTTGTGAACTGGTAATAGAGTCTATTGCTGTAAGCCTAGATAGGATGCAGATAGTGCATCCTTGGGGGCAGAACCCGAAACTCGGTCTGGGTAGGCGAGGCACTTGGTTAGGTAAATAATTTATACTAATTACTTGCATAAGCTTGTAA